TTCCAAACGCAACCTTGGTTATTTGACTAGTTTAAGTTGTTTAACAAATAACAACCTCTATTACACAATTCCAAATTTCTGATCAAGTATCTGAATGTATTGAGAATATGAATCAAACTGTATATCCTGTTATTTGTTCCAATTGAATTTGTATATGAAGTCCGTAGATTCATGGATTCGAATCTATTTGGACATCAAGATTTCTTATAGAAGTCTAATTCATTTGCGACCCAAAACTTACTACTTTCTGCTCAACCACTCAAGTTAGTAGAGGTATAGGAGGTAGTGTTTTTAACCGTCTGATCTTCGTTACTAATATTAAGAGCACATTCTTAATAGTTGCTTGCAGGTGTTTTCAGTTTTTCACAGAAACAAGGGAAAAATCAAATATTCTTTCTGTCGGATTTTGGGGACAAAAAGGGTGTTATACAAAGTTACATTTCACAGAGAATAGAACCACACATCTCCAAATCAATCTTCATGCATGCGCATATACAGAGTTCATTCATGGCTCCTTTGTATCTGCATCTGGAATGGCAGGAATCGAAATACAAATTCAGTCAGCTGATGATTCTCCAATGGTCTCAAGTAGAAATCTTAATGCAACAAATCCGCTCCAAGCAGAATGGTGGGCCCTCCTGCATGGTCTCCAATATGCCCACTACCTAAAACTCAAGACGTTGGTCTGTTTTTCTGACTTAGAAGGCTTAGTTAAGAACTTCTATATAGATGGGTAGGAGGAATAGTTCATCAAACCGATAAAGCGCAGAATCATAATCATAGACCTTCTATCTTTTTTTGATATAGTTTGTGTATCCCATGTAAATAGAGATATGAATAGGGTTGTTCAAAAACTAACTTACAATGCATGTAAATATAATATGATAGTAGAAAACTTAAGCAACCTAACAAATGCTGCTGTAACGACATTACTTTAATGAATGTTAAGCCTTCTGCTTTTTTTTTAAAAAAAAAAAAAAACATTCATGTTTTCTAAATTGCCACATAATCAGAAAAAAGAACAAAGGAGATGCGCATTATTTCTGAAAAGCAAAAATAAACTTTGTAATCTATGAACTGTATCAGAAATTATATGATTAATGCCCAGAAATGTATATATATATATATATATATATCTGGAATGGGTGGTTTTTCCTTGCAGGAAACGGACTCTATTTGCACGAGTCTCATGTGCAAATGTTTTGCATGGTAGACGCGTGTCTTGACTTCTTTCTCATTTCTTCTGTTCGAGATGCTTCTTCCTATTCGAGATGCTTCTTCCAAGTTCCATTTGAGTCTCTCTCTTCGAGAGAACTCCTTGGCTTTTCGATTTTCCCTGTCATTGCGAAGGGAGAACGAAGGAGGCCTGCCCAAAGGCTTCACAAACTGCTTGTCCCTCTTGAGCTATTGAGTTCTTGAAGCAACAGGGACAAGCAGCGGCGGTTTGGCCTCCTCCACTCATTTTCAGGTTGCCGAATACTGTTCATCTTCTAGTTCGAAACCTTGAGGATTCATGGAAGCCGAGGCCGAAGTCAAGGCGTTTGCCATCAGAGCCCTGGGTTCTCTCTTCAAGCTCATTGAAGTCTTTTTGTGGTATAATGCTTTCTGTCTATCTATGGTATATCTGTTCTTTTGCTTTTTGTTTATGTAGTTCCAGATTAGGGCAAAAAGCACATTTTTCTAGCTAGATTTTGTGTGATTTGGAATTCGGGTAGTAAGTTGTTTCTAGAAGACTCGCTTTGTCCACCTTCCCCTCAAGTTCTAGAGTTTCATGTCTCTACTTTCTCATTCCCGGTTTTGCTATTAAAATTTCTCTTATTTAACAGGACCGACAATGCTCCCATATACGAAATAGAGGTGTCCGCTTCATTTGTTCGTCAGGGTAATTTGGCAGAAACTGCTGTAAGTTTAACTTAGTTTAGTTTGTTTCTGAATCAATTTGTTGTTCTCTTATGAGTTACGATACTAATTTTGGGTTTCCTTCTGATTTAGTAGCTATAGTGATTGATGTATGCATGCACTTATTTTTAGACCCTTTGAAACCCTTATTCTTACATTTAGTTTTTGTCTTGCCAAGCTGCTTTTATTTTGGAGGTTGAATCTACTGTTAATGGCAAGTGTTCCTTGTTGAATTCTCCTTCACCTCATTTATTTATTTTTTCTTGCGTCACACTTTTTGCTAATAAATCATGTACTGAGACCACATGATTTGTTTTTCGGGTCTTACTTTGCACCATTGCAAAGAATTTGTTAATGATCAATGCCATAAATCAATTAGTTACATTTTAGTGGTTCTGTTGTCTTTGTGATCTGCTCATATTACACTCCGTTAGAGGATGTAGAACTCATCAGGTAGATGAATGATTTGGGGCTTCCTGTTTCCTTCAGCACAAACAAGGAGGCAAGTCCATATTTTTCTTTTTCTTTTTTAACTTTTTTTTGTTTCTATAGTGACAATGGTGTTGTAATGTATTTAATATGTTACCAAAGTTGTATTACTCCGCAACACGATGTTGCATTGTTGCAGAATGAAGGTAGCCATCCGGGTTTCACCACCTTGAATAACAATAGAAATATCCTTTGGTATCTCAGGGTTTCACCACCTTGAATAATTTGTGGTTTCACCACTTTGGTGGGTCGGTAGGTTGCTGTCCAGCTTCCCAAGAATAATTCGTGGTTTGGCGGGGTTGAGGAGGTGCAGCCATTCTATAAGATTGTAAAGATGTTCTTACAATTTCCATCTAGAAGCATCATAGTTGGTTTCACTGAGGAATTTTTACCTATTGGATTCAAAGAGTTCTGATTAATGTCCCATAAAAATGCCTCTTCTTGGGTACCTCATAGTTTCAGCTCATGTTACATGGACACAGAGCCAAGGCTCACTGATATGACTATCATGGTTTATAGATTTTTGGGAAGTATAGGTTTCGCATGCATGTATCTCATTCATGGGGATGTCAGTATACATATCTATTTATGCATGTCCAAGGGAAACATTGAAAATCTTTCGTCCATATCCATATTTACTGGACGTGTCCAAAGTCCAATAAATGCATTGCACTTACAATTTAAGTGTCTAAGTAACATGGTTGGAAGTTATCACCGCCTATCCACGGTTATGTAGCTGGTTGTTGTGGCAGCCCAGTTGACTCAGACAAGCTTATTCCTTCAATGGAACTGGATGGTGGTTCTGGTCCTTATCCTTGCAGGTCAAAGGTGGGCACATTTACTTGTTGAATGTGTAATCTTATATATGATCAGGAGCTAGGGGGTGCAGGGATAAGGGGGCAGTAGCAATTTTGTCCTTTTTTAGGAAATTTGCTTCAGAAGGTATATGTTGCTCTTTGTGAACTAACATTATCTCTAATCCCTGCAGATGTAAAAGATATAAAATGTGTAATCAATTGTGATTTCCCATCAAGCCTTGAAGATTATGTTCACAGGATCAGACGAACTTACTCATGCAAATGCAAAGTTTGCCAGAGATCTTATTAAGATCCTACAAGATGGTGGACAGGTCGTTAGTCTAGCATTGGCTACAATGGCCAGGTCAAGTGGTTCACATGGTGGAGGTATGTTTCTAACCATTTTCTCTATTACATGTTTAAGAGATGGGTGGGTATTCGGTTGACTTGAAATGATTTTCATGTATAGTTTATTCATGTGTTTTGACAGGTTTAGGGGGGGAACTTCCGCTCAAGGGGATGGGGAGGTGGTGGTTTAGGCAATCGAGCTTTGATTTCTAGATCCAACACCATACCACTTGGTACAAGGAAGCCATGGTAGCGCCTATTCTTCGGTGGGATGGTGAACTGCGCTGACAACACAGGTGTGAAGAACCTATACATCATCTTTGTGAAAGGGATCAAGGGTCATCTCAACAGATTGTCGTTGGCCTATGTTGGTGACACGGTATGGCCACCATGAAGAAGGGGAAGCTTGATCTCAAGAAAAAGGTCATGCTTGCTGTCATTATTCGACAATAGAAGCCATGGTGCCGAAAGGACGGTGTCTACATGTACTTCAAAGGTCAATTATTTTTCATTTTGTTCTGTTATTTTCTTTCTTTGTTATGTTTTCTATTATATATATATTTTTATGTTCCCTTTCAAATGCACCGGTAGGTCTAATCAAAGTTCTTTCATTTTTTCTCCTCTTTATTGTTGTTTTTCCATGAGATTTTAAAGCTTCCTGTCTTTAATCTGATTATGATGGCTTTTTTATTGTCTTCGTCGGTAACTTGTATTCTGTTAGCATTGAATGTTAAGATCATATAATTTTTTTAAGATTGTTCTTCTGTGCTATTGTAGGCAATAATTTTATTTCTATGTTGTGCTCAAAGTATTGCCCAACTCATAGCACTTTGACAGTTAACAGTTAACTGCTAAGTTAATGGCTTTCAAATGGTGGGTCCCAACAAAATTCATAGGTATAGTTACTCTATACTACAGTGTGGTCATTAATTAGTAATTAGTGTGAAGAGATGTCTATGCTTTTAGAGTTGTACTTATGGATCTCCTAATGGGAAGAAAGCCTATGGAAAAGATGGCACCAGCTCAATACCACTATTGTCACATGGGTATGTTTTGTTCTTAATCCCCATAATCGGTAATCAAATTCCTACCGTACAGGTGGAACGAATCCTGACCATGGATCGATGCCAAATCTACGGGCAGGATGCGGTTTATAGGGGGCTACTAGTAGACTAGGAGGGGGCTATAAATTCAGATTTGTGAGGAGCAGTACAGTCTACTTATCCCTTTTACAATCTACTCTCTCTCTACCTTAATTTTCGGAAAAAATAACTTACCTTAATTTCCAGAAATACAGACTTATTTTTTTATAACCTACTCTCTTTACCTTAATTTCAGAAATAATTTACCCAAAAAATAATTAAAAATCTGTTTCTGCAACCACTATTATTAGATATAAATTTTAATTTATTTTAAATAATTTTTTTCTAAGATACTTTCACTAAAAAATACCTTTTCAACTTTTTTTTTTTTTTTTTTCTATACAATAATCAAGCCCCTCCCCCCTCCGCTAGTTATATGATTAATGGAGCATGGCATTAGATAACGAGATGTAAACTTTGAAAACAAAAAAAAAAAGTTGAATTAAACATATTCTTGAAAACAAGAAGCGATAAGTAGGTCATTTAAATTCGTTTTTGAAACCTGTATTAAAAAAAAAAAAGCAATTCATTGTCTGCCCCAATCACTTGCTGCTTAATTGCCTAATAATCAGAATGACTTATTGCTGCCAATAGAGATAGATAAAGCAAAATCATTCATTACCAAACAACCCCGAATTCCTGTCCTTTCATCCGTGGACCGTGGTCTAGATTTCACCACTCCCCATACGATGAATTCAGAGGTGGGTCCCATTCGTACCAAGAACAAACAAGGCAAAGGTCACGGACTCACGGGTGTTCACAGTTCACTGCCCTCCTCCCGAGGATCCTTGTATAATTGGATTCTCCAATTCTACTGTCTAGTCTAAGCAAACTTGAAGCAAGCTCACTGCATCAGAAAGGAGGCAATCAGGCAATGCAAGCCCATCTGGTTCTCCTCCTTGTTCTGATCTCCCTCACAAGCAACCATCGCCATGCATCAGCTCAGCCTTATGCGACATTTCCAACAACTAGAAGCGGTCAGCTGAAGCTGCCGGACAACGAAACAATCTACAACATCTCAAAGCAGCTGTGCTGGGGTTGCATAGGCGAAGCCCTACAGTTCTTGTTTGTTCACAACCTGAAGAGAGCAGCGAAGTGGGAGCTACCTCTGATGTGGGACTTCCAGCTCGAGAACTACGCGAAATGGTGGGCGGGACAACGGAAAGCGGACTGCGCGCTGCAGCATTCGTTCCCGGAGGGGGGCTTCAAGCTGGGGGAGAACATATACTGGGGCAGCGGCGCGAGATGGACTCCGACCGACGCCGTGATTGCATGGGCGGCCGAGGAGAAGTACTACAATTACGTGACTAATAGTTGCCAAGAGGGCCAGATGTGCGGTCACTATACTCAGATTGTATGGAAGACCACTCGGAGGATTGGATGTGCTCGTGTGGTTTGCGATGATGGAGATGTGTTCATCGCTTGTAACTACGATCCGCCTGGTAATTATGTGGGAGAACGGCCATATTGAGAGGATGATGTGTAGGGTTTTAGTTGCTTCTGGTTCCAATTATTAATTCATGAATTCTTAGATGGGTTGGATTGGCTTGAATGTATTGTCATGTTTAGGCACATCAAAGTAAACACTGATAAATATTTTGACATCTGTAAAAAGTGGGTATTAATCTTTACAAGGTAGGGTGAGGGTATTTTAAATGACAGGTTTAAAAAATTTTCAAGTACTTATTGAACGCGCATAGCTCAACTGAACCCGATTAGATAAGTGATACTGTGTAGAAATGTAGAAATAAACGGCAGCATGTCAGCTCTGGGGTAGTTCAGTGGTACCTATTATTCAGTGCCACATCACTTCATGCAACTCCAAAAAACGATAAATTCGACGTTGCTCCAAGCCATGCCTTCTTGATTTCTAAGGTATGATTTGGAGCATCGTTTTTTAAGAAAAAACAATTCCAAATAAACAGACGTTTCTTAGAGCACTGTTTTTTCCGACGTAACGCTAATGTATCACTGAACAATGGCATCGATTTCAAACATACGCTAAATAAATGGTTTTTAGATTTATGTAAAGGTCGATTGTTAGAGTAAATATCACTTTAATTTAATGTTTTCTCTAATACCCAGCAGTTTATCCATTGTTGAGCTTATATGATGCCTAATGACACTAAATAACGTCTAACGATGCTTAGCTAGCTATCAACTCAAATAATACTAAGTAAACATTAGTCATCTCCTTTCTTTCTGTTTTTTTAAAGAAAAAAAAAACCAAAAATTTATTAAAATAAACGACCACCGTACTAAGCCCAAATGACTAAGATTGGTCACTCAGCATCCCTTCCATCAGCGCACTTATGCACTTTAGTCGATCCTCACACCCCTTAATTCTCCTGTAATATAATGTGTAAAAGGGATACTGACTAGCAAGGCATTAGGTCATCAGCCATCAATGGCTGTGGATAAAGGGTTAATGAATACGGATGGAGAACTGAACATTTGGTCGATCAAAGGGTAGGTGTAGGTGTTGTAGAGAAGACCCTGGAAACCGAACATGAAGAAAGATCTGCTGATGCACGGGATCTGCTATAAACAAAGGCATGTACAATAGGCTACCGAGCCCAAATGTCGTCTCATCAGTAAACACATTAGCTATTTGGACAGTTACCAGATGTTATTATGTGAACTGATATGTTTACTTGTGAATGGATTGCATGGTTCGTTGTATATGTTTTTGTTTGTAGCATATCTAGAACTAATTTCTCATGAGATCTGCTACAAACAAGGCTTACTACGATGAGCTACATAGCCCAGTCATTAATAAATGCATGTTCAATGCCGGTGATCGCTATTGATTTAATTATGCAAATAGCTTACATTGGAGCTGAAGTAGGATTATCAAGTTTAATTATGCATAACTCTTATGTCTCACCTTACTTCATGTTCAATTAATTATGCCCCTGCATAACTCTTATGCATAACTCTTATGTCTTTTCCTTGTTTTACTTTTTTCACTCAGTTTATAATTCCTGATTTTCTCCATACTATCATTGTAAGGGTAATTTGTCTTTTTCTTAGCATAGTTGAATGGATTAGTCATGAAGTGAATCCAACCCAATTATAGGGGGTCAGGGTCTGCGTTGTGTCAATTATAATTGTCCGTTTTGGTTGTAATCATAATAAGAGAAACAAATAAGGGTCTGTTGGCTTGTTAATTATTTTTAGGAGGTGTTCTTTTTTTGGATTTTGAGAGGGGGAAAGTAAGTAAATGGGATTTTGGTTCCCATTGATCAAGAATCCCATGTGTTTTTCTTTTTTTTTTTTTCAAATTAATGTGGGGATCAGGGGAAAGTTTATTTTCCTAGGTGATACCCATCTTCTTGGTGGGTAAATAACTTTCCCACATGGGGGAAATTCCAACACTTGAATGGGACAAAAATGCCCATTTTAATAATGGATTTTTATGGTTAAAATAGTCATTTTCTTTTTTACTTGGGAAATAAAAAAACATGGGTAAATGCACTTCCCTGGGTAAGTGTTTCCCAAGGAAAACTTACCCATGTAATCGTATTTACCTGGATAAATAACTTACCAACAAGTGAACGGGGCCTTAGATGTGTATTGATGTTGGTGAACTTTTTTAAGTTCTAGTCCGAACATAGAGAATGTTGTGAAATCTGAATGTTGAGTTCTAAAAAATGACAATTAACCATTTTTACCATGAATATGAGAGTTTGTTTAACTAATTAACAATTTATTAAATGAATATAAAAAGATTTATAATTAGTGAATTCTGTCGGCAAATGGTCGATCCTATCTCCAAGATGAAGCACTTCAAGTCTGTTGAGATACCCTATTTGGGATGGACATGTACGCAACCTTGTACACATTGCATATAACCCTCGAAGGAATGAAACAGAGGGCGGTAAATCATCTATATCAGTACCTGATATGTCTAGAACTCGAAACTTATGCATGCATGTGTTCAAAGAATGACTCTGGGATTTGCTTCAGCATTTCATTTCGTTGGAGCAACAATGTCAAGAGTGTCGGGTAGACAATTACCAAGGTTGTAATTGTGCATCAATGAGATTCTTTGTTTCTGTTTCCATTCCTCCACATAAGGAGGTGTTCCTTAATAACCAATCTTGCTCTTACCACTATAGCATACCAAGAACCTATCACCACTTTCTCCCTTATCACTATCAGAATTATCCGAGGAAAATGATGATGTGATTTTCAATGCTAGATCGTCTCTAATCATGTACAACATGCATCTTCACACATTTATTCTTGTCCCAATCCTCCATTAACTCCAACAAAGAGGCATTGCAGAGCTCATCCACTATAGCATACCCTCTATTAATTGCATCGTCCAAGCTTTGCATTCCATCATCATTAATAAAACCCTCCCCAAACCAATAATATATCAATTCCTCAATTAAGATAAAATGATCTTCTGGAGATAATGCACAATATAAGAAGCAATTCTTCAGGTTTGCACTCCTTAACCGATCAAAACTGAACTTCAAAATCTTGAAGACGGACTCCTCCATATCATCAATAATCTCATACTTGTTCATTAAGTGCATTCTTCCACACGTGAGTATTCCATATCCCTTGCTTTCTCAATGACCCACCGATTAGCTTAATGGCAAGTGATAAACCTTTGCACTTCTCAACTATTTTCTGGGAAATGCTTCGTACCTCTGGAGCATCCACAACTTCCGAAACTATTTCTCGAAACAGATCCCATGCTTCTTCCTCGGGCAAAACATCCACTTTGATATCTCCATCAGTCTCCATTTTATTGTTACAGACTTTTCGGGATCGAGTTGTTAATACTATCTTGGATCCATTTCTTCTGCTCTGTGTAGGGACGTACTCCTACATCTTCCAAGTCAACTTTGTCCCACATATCATCCAAAATCAGCAACCACTTCTTGCTTAACAATGTTTGTAGTATCCATCTTCTTGCAACGTAACTTCACCATCATGAGATTGTTCACCCTTACCCAGACTCAAATTCAAATTCAATCGTTGAGCAATTCGATCTTGTACCTTTCTCACATCCCCATCTTTGGACACTGTTACCCAGATAGTAATTTCGAACATGTCTTTCAATTTATTACTGGTAAATTGTGTAACATCTTGACTGTAGTAGTCTTACCCACCCCACCCATTCCCCATACTCCAACCTTCCAGAATTTATCATCTTTGAGGCATCCCAATATCTTCTGTACAGTACACTCTGTTGAAGTAGTCCTAGTCCCAGTCCCACTTTTCACTAATGGTGCAAACATTGGCTCAATTATATTCTACGTGGGAATGGGAGTGCATTGATTGCCATCCTTTCTTCAAACTTGCCTTCCTCTTGAAGCCTAGCAATCTCTTTTAACTGAGTTACTACTCGCCTTAGCTTCCAAGCTGCACACGTTGCAAAATATCAAACCGTACATTGGCTCAATTATATTCTACGTGGGACTGGGAGTGCATTGATTGCCATCCTTTCTTCAAACTTGCCTTCCTCTTGAAGCCTAGCAATCTCTTTCAACTGAGTTACTACACGCCTTAGCTTCCAAGCTGCACACGTTGCAAAATATCAAACCGTCTAATAGGCTCTCCATTGTATTCTTGGATATCAACACGTAACATCCCTTGCTTGTTTTCAAAAAGATTGACATCTTCAATCCATTTTTTAACTTCACTCTTCAGTGATTCTGAAACGGCATATATTCCTCTATCACATTTTCAACACGACTCTTCTTGTTTAAGAGACGTTCTTCCATCTTGAGTTTTTGATAGTTTTCTTCAAGGTTGACCGCCTCATCGGATCTACACTTGAGAGGGCCAGACAATTTCTCCAATGCAAAATCCATTGATGTTTTTACCAGCTGCCACAAATGTACGTAAAAAACAAATGCAAATGCAAATTAATTAGAATCCACTCTCACGTACCTGTTGTTGGCCATGTAACTTAATTGTGAAGAATTTATTATTAACCAATCACGTACTTCAGTGTAATATATGAAGCACTACAGAGGAAGCACCATAGGTGACAAGATGTGATTCCTAAATTTGCTTTGGAGATTAACACAAGGGTTCTTTATTCTTTCAACATATAAAATGTTGTAAACATATGATATGAAACTTTTATCTGTGGGGAATAAAGTTGTATTCAGAGGGTGTTCATATATAATTAGGATATGGTCTTATAAGCAATTTAGCACTAGAATGGTTAAGAAGAAAAATGCCATGCTTTATAATGAAAAACAAAACAAAGAAATTAGAAGATATTTAGTAGAGACCCTATTATTAATTATGTGTCATATCATTACTATTCTTAGACTCAGACTGGTTCGATCAGATAGGTTCACTACTACTCTAATGATGAAAGTTACCCTGTTCCAAAACCGGATTCTAATCCTTACCCAAAAAACTAACCGGCCCGGGTTCTAAAAGAGCTCTCTAAACAGTTTTTTTTTTTATTCTTTTTGGGTAAATCTCTAAACAGTTGATAGGGTCAAAGCATTCACTAAGAAACAATTAAACATGGTAATAGCTCTCAATATGACACTTTCAAATCTTTTGATTTTTTTTTCCAATTGTTTTCATATATTTATAATTTATTTGCAGTGCGCCAAGCAATTCGCCCTAATCAATCATGACGTAACATAGTTCTCAAATATGAGCTATGACTAGCCAAAAAAATAATTGTTTTCAAATATGAGCAATTGTATCTAGAAATCATGCACTGGAAATCATGAACAAGTTTAGGAACTTCTTCCCTGGAATGCATAGGATAGACTCAAGTGTATCTGGAGAAATCATCAATGAAGGTGATAAAATATTTATAGCCACTCTCAGTTGGACTAGTAACGGGGCCCCAAATATCAAAATACACAATATGGTAAGGAAAATCAGCTCTTTTATTATGTAATGGAAAAGAAGTTCTACAATTCTTATTCAATTAGCAAGTTTGACACTAAAACTCATCAGCAGACACAAACACAAACAACTCTGGAAACAAATGTTTTAAAGACTCAAAAGACACATGACATAAACGATTGTGCCACAAAACAACTTGACTCTTATTTGTTTACTCAAAAACCCTAAAGCCGTAAGACCAGTTGCATTCTCTAGCACATAGACACCATCAACCATGCTCTCTCTACCAATCATCTTCCTAGAGGCCAGATCTTGAAAAACACAAGAATGGGGAAGAAAGGTTATAGAGCAACTTAAAAAATGAGTAATACTACTAATAGATAGCAAATTGATAGACAAATTTGGAACATAAAGTACATTGGAGAGGGGGAGGCCCAAAGGAAGAGATATTGTTCCTTGATCAGCTATGGAAGAGAAGGACCAATCAACTAGTCTCACTTTATCTCTACTAGAGAGAAGGGCATAAGACCAAAACAAATTTGACTTGCTAATCATATGCTTTAAAGCATCGGAATAAATGATGCAAGGATATTCTAGAGCACTACAGGGCACATGGAAAGCAGAGGTTGTGTTACCTAATATAGATGCAAAAGAAATTAAGGGGCTAAGTCTTGAATGTGTTTGTTGTAGTGACCTACCATACTACTCCAAATGGTCACGAGAGAAATTGAGAATATCTTCCTTGAGATCAAAACTAATAGGACGATCTTGGGAGGACTCTTGTGAGGCCAAGTTTGCGGTTGTCGATGTGTACTTCTAACTAGGCTTTCTGTTCTGTTCTTGTGCTGACTTCTTCACTAAGTCTTGTGCCCATTTTGGTTTCCCAATCAAATCCCAACAGGTCTTCCGGGTGAGCCTAGATTTTTGGCAATGTGTACACCACAACTTGTCTTTATCATCTACCCTTTTTTAACCATCCCCTTTCTTTCTAGAGCTAGTGCCACCCCTTATTGCCAAAGCAACTAACTCCCCCGCAGAAGCAGTCATAGCCAACTATCTACTTTCCTTGGACTGGGTTTATATATGGAATTAAGGCCTAACAGAAAAGCAAACACACACTATTGAGAAACCAATTGCTTGTAGGCCTTGGCATCTTTGTCACTTTCCCACTCAACATTTTGATAATAGTCTAATTCTTTACAAACTAAGGTTAGTGCTAAATAATATGAAGATAAGCTTCTCTCCCTATGTTTACATGTGGAGGACTCTGCTTGCAACTGATAGATCCTAGCATAATGTCTCTACTCTGAATATGTCAACTTTGCATGTTCCCATATTTCACAGGTTGTTTCTGCCCACATAAAATTTTGCTTCATTAATGGTAACATGGATGGAAACAGCCATGACATAATCATGCAATTCTCCTGATCCCACTCATCATGCTCAGTCATCCCTAACTTTGGTTCCTTCACTTTCCCATTAATGTGCTCGACCTTGCCTCTAGCAGTGATATATAGTCGCATCTCCTTAGACCATCTAAAGGAGTGATGATCATAAGAAAATTCATGGAATCATGATTGGTACTTAATCAACCATGACTGGAAGTAGTTCCAGATGTTGCAAAATCTTCGGAGGCTATAAGGAACAACTCCTAACACACTTAACAGATCTTATTTCTACAGTAGACACAAAGAACAGGCAAACAAAAACAACCATGGTCCTGGAATCAGCCCTGTAAGCAATCAGATGTACAAGAAACCCATGCACAATCAGTTTTGTTGTATTTGCAGACCACATACAGGTCATACAGACCACTCACCAGCTTGTTTAAGCTGCATGATTACCAAGGAGTTACCACAGTTTGATCTCCTAACACAGTGAGGTCACTCATGACCTACAGGGGTACACACCCCACTTCAATCTGGATCCCTGGGAGTCTAAAACCTCCTTTACACCATTCAGCCACCACACAACTGAACTGCTATTGGTGTTTCTAGTTTCTACAAAGAACCAAGTTTAAAGAACCACAAAAAACTGTTCTAGCCCAGTCCAATTTGAGAAAAAAATACTTTCACAGTCCGAAAAGGTAAGATAGAACAGAGAAATTCATTCAGTCACTTTTGGTCACTCCAGAGCAAGTGCTTGTAGCCAATGGTGATGGAATGAGTTTTACATAAGATTTAAGAGAGAGAAATCAAAAGTAGAATATTCTGACCTGTACAGCTGTGTGATTGCTGTCTCTCTTAGTTTAATACCAGAAAAGGAAAAAAAAGGGCGAGAAACAGGACATAATCAATAATGGAGATTAGATTCCAACGTCCTACTCTGATACCATCTTGTCTTGGTGCAGAAAAGTAAAAGGAAGAAGAGGAGAGAAGTGAGAAAAATGGAAGAGAGGCAAAAATGGAAGAGAGAAGTTTTGCCTCACCCCTAGTCCATTTCTTTTGGGATTATACCAAGAATCCACCCCCCATCTCCTACCACCCCTGAACCCCTCTCTTTGCACCACTGCCATCCCCAAGAGTAGAAGTGTACACACGAGACCCTAACCAAACCTTCCACAGAGACCTCACTTCCGCCTCACCTCCTACACCTACCTCCTCTCAAAACAATGGTTATTTAAAATATACCAATCAATGGGTTTTAAATGTCACAACAGAATCACAACAATGAGTTCTCTAAGAACCAGCATTCAGAGGTTTTGAAGGTCTTAGCACCTATAAAGCAAGTTTGAACTAAGATTACATGATACGTAAATAACAAAGTCACTCTCACATGACTTAAAAACTCATTTATTCAAAATAAACTCATTATCTCATTAAGAAAAGTAAATATGATTTTTTTTTCCACTTGACACTATAATGGTTTAAAAAATATCAAATACACACCAATAGTAAAATTAAGGAGATTCTGAAATTTCTAGAGTACCATAGATTTAGAACAAAATAACCTAGCATAACTATCCAAAATTGACCTTCTAGTCTTTATTTTCTTGATTTCTTACTTTTTCCACAAGCCCTAAGGCTGCGTTTGGTTGGAGGGAAGGTTTTGACGGGATGAGAAAGGGAAAATGGATGGAAAATTTTCACGTTCCATTGTTTGGTTGCAAAAGGGAAAATAGTGGGAAAATCAACCCTAATAACAATTATTAATTAATTAATTAGGTAATTAGTAATATTTTTATTATTTCATATTTTACCAATAATAAATTATTTACTACTAATATTTTATCAATAAATTTTATAACTATTTACTTAATTAGTTAATTAATTATTAATTAAGAACTACTATTTTAATTTTTATTTGAAATTTTACTTTATTAATATTTAATGAGAATTAATTAATCACTTTTATTTTGTATAATTATAATTTAACATCTATATTATCTATTTATTTTATTTAATCATTAACTAAATTAATAATAAAATAATTATTTAATTATTCATTAATTACATAGTTAATTCATTATTAATTGTTTTGTTGTTAATTATAGATTAATTAATAAAACTTTTTTATTATTTAGCATTTTACTATTAACTATTAATTATTTCAAATTAATAGTTAGCTAATTAATTATTAAGATTAATTAATATTTTCAATTTTATTAGTTTATATTATTAATACTTTATTCTATTAATTAATTAATTGTTTTAATATTTTTAGTATTAATTATTAATAAATTATTAAACTATTTTTCAATGATTAATTATTTCTTTTAATTTATTAATTAATTATTTTTAATTAAATTATTTTATTAATATGTTATTAAATAATTAATAATTTATTAATGGGTCATAGATCTAATATTAACTCTTAGAAATACAACAAGGAAGGTACTTTTTATTGTTAAACAAGTTTCCTCCTCCGTTCCCACCAAAATGGTGGGATTCCATATCGCAAGAATTGGGATCATAATTCCACCTTTTTCTCATCCCATCTCATGACATCCCACAAACCAAACCATGGGAAAGGAAGAATATTCCATTGTTTCCCTTCTCATCCCACAAACTAAACAGTGCCTAGAGACCAGGTTACCTTCTAAATATTACTGTTTGTGTGTGTGCATGTCTAAACACATGCAACCATAACGTTACTTTAAGAGGACATTGTTCACTCCATAGTGACTTACACAATCTCTTTGATTACCCTACATTCAAACAAAAAAAAAGTAAAAACTTTGCAAAACAGGAAAAGAACATACCAAAGAAAAAACACATAACAGCAAAAACTTGGCAAAACAGGCAATATAATCATTTAAGTTACTTTTGAGATTCTTCACAGCTTGGTATTCAATGGACCACCACTGATATTTAGAAAATGAAACAGCTAAGGCATCATATCTACCTACTTGTTCTTTGGATCTTGTGCAACTAGAAACAACTCTTGCATTGAGGATGTTAATTATGGCTCACAAAAAAAAAAAAAAAGACAAGAAATAATAGGTCTTCTAAGTTCTAACATGGGATGGCTCCTGCAAAACAAAACTAGATATAAATAGATGTGCCAATGAACTAGGGAATAGCATCAAGGCTAAGTCTAATCACCTTTTGCTCATAAGCAGCTTATAAAAAGACGGGGAAAGAATATACAACAGTTGGAATCCCTGCATATGCACCCAATGTATTAACATTTCCAAGCATGAAGTATCCCAGACAAATGGTAATAGGGTACAGAACAGTGTAGAATTTCCTAAAAATTTCAGCAAGCATTTCACATCTTCAATTTTCATAAGACACTAACCTTCATTTAAAATAGCCAAGATGAGACTTCATATACCAATGCATCAACACCATCAACAAATTCTGGAGGCTTCCTAGCAATCCTTTCTAGTTCTTGCTAAGCCATGTATCAAACACTTGAATGTCAAACTATTTGGCACAAAACCCAACTTCAAGAACCTATCCTGCAATTCCAATGATTTTGTTACATCACCTTTCTCACAATATTCTTGGATGAGTGTATTACAACTTTTTACATCACAAAACTGAAATTCCTGAGCAAAGTAGCTTAGTAGTGACTCTGCTTTCTCAAGATCCCCTTCCTTGCAATATCCCATTATTAAGGCCCTGCAAATAACAGAGTCAGGAAAAAGACCAATTTCAACCATCTCCCCCAACAAGGACTCTCCCTCGGTAATCTTGCATAATCTACACAAGCAACCTATAAGAGCCCTGTATGTATCCAAATCAGGTTTTATAGCCTTCTGGACCATCTCACCCTTCAACAACAATGCTTCGTCAAAATTATCACAGTTGCAATAGGATCCAATAAGCAAATTGTAAACCCCCAAATTTGGTTCATAACCATCTGAAAAAGTTCTTCGCAAGAGAGACTTTGCCGCATTGGGCCGGTTATCCAAACATAAAGCAACTATAAGGTAGCTATACATATCATGAGGGATTGAAACTCCCAGTCTCTGAATTTCAGCAACCAAATTCAAAGAAGAAAGCAATCTACCCATATTTGCATATCCTTGTACCAGTACCTGGCAAGTGAAACTATCAGGCAACAAACCATTCTGAATCATTTCATACAACAAAGACCTTGATTCTTTCATATTCCCTTCCTTACAATAACCAGAAATAAGAGAATTATATGTAACAACATCTGGACTCAACCCTCTGTGAAGCATACGATGGAAGAGTTGATGAGCCTCCCTCACTTTTCCTTTCTTACAAAGACCATTCATCAAGGAAGTATATGACACCAAATTCGGTGGCACGCCCCTCCTATACATGATCTTATACAAATAGAAAGCATCTTCCAACATTCCCTTCTGGCAAAAGCTATCAATAAGCGTGTTATACGTCACAACATCAGGAATAAACCCTTTTTCCTCCATCTTATCCAAGAACTCATTCACCTTACCCAGATCCCCATCCCTACACAACACATGGGTCAATATGTTAAATGTATACGCATTGGGAAATATTCCAATCGTTTCCATTTCTTGGTAGATTTCCCAACATTGATCAAGATAATTTGACTTCAGCAAACCATTCAAAAGACAATTGCAAGCAGTGACATCAGGAGCAAATCCAATCTTTAGAGTCTCCTTGAAAGTTTTGAAGCCTTCTTCAACCCTACTGGCCTTGACATAAGCCTTGATGAGCATGTCAAAAACAAGCGGATCCCAATTGCAAACTTCACTGGACAAAACCAAATTTCGGAAGGCATCTTCACTTGGGTTAGCTAATTTTATCAGTTCAGAGATAAAATGCATTGCTTGAATGAATTTCCGGGACCAGACCAATATATGAATGATGATACAGTAGTTTTGAGCGGTTGGTTTGAGGTCCAGGTCACTTTTTACCCAATTAAAGAAATTGAGAGCAGTGAAGGGGTCAGATTGGCATCTCAATAATACCCTAGAAATCTCGTGGATACCCAAATACGCACGAATCCATTCAATGTCTTTTTGAACAGATGTGAGATTCCCGTTATCATCTTTCAGCTTTGAGCAGATGAAGTTAACAATATTATATGGATTATAAGGGCTCGGGAGTAAATAGTATAGAGGATTAGAGATGGACTTCGAATCTGTAAATGTCTGAAGAGAAGATGAGGATGAGGAACCAAAATTTGATGCAAAAATGGAGTTAGCGAGAAGGTTTAAAAATAGAGATGAGAAAGTTGATAAGTTGGTCAATTTTAAGAAGATTTTATTGTTGGAAGTGATTGACCGAAGAAACATCGAAGACAATCACAAATTGCATGCAATAAGGAGAGAGAAAGATTACGCTTACGAGTTAAGTGACGCCGAGCGGCTGCAGAAATAGAAAATGAAGAAAGTTAGGGTTCTTCCAATAGAAAAAACTGAAAGGGGAAACACAGGGTCTTATTTGGCTGTTAACAAGAGAACTCACAGAATCTCTGACAATGGAGTCTGGTTCGGTTGTTGATAGGGGTGAATTAATGGAAGAATGGCCTCAATATAGTTTTAACGTCCAACTGAATTCAAACCTGTAAACTCTCGTTTGCTCTTGAACTACCACTTCAATCACTTCATCTGTAAAACCCTCCTATTGACGCTGAAATAAAGCTTGGGTTCGTCACCAGACTCACCATGATGCTGCAATCAAAACCGAGAACGAATTCAGTGAACCCGTAGGGTCACGGTGAACGTGTGCCCTCCAATAGGAGGCGTGCACGTCATCTATTCGAATAGGTCTGAAGCCACTCCGTTATTCTTGTCTTCCCGTTAAACAGGTGAATATGATTCACCCGGTGAGAAAAAGATAAAAATAAATAAATAATTCAGAATTCTCGTTTTTTAGTAAGTAACTCTCGTTTTTTCCTTTTATTTTTTGGGGTTTTAGCATATAAGGGCAACTTTTTGTCCTAAATGTCAATAAAAAATAGTATTTTTATAAAATAACTAAAATAAATTAATTTTTTTTTGAAAAATATCAACGAAGGGCAATGATACTATTCATCGTCTTCCTCTTCCTTTGCCTCTGTGATTGTTTTTAATAGGTAGTTGGACAATACACATTGCCAGGTGCGGAGCTAGTACGTGATAAACCGGTGACAAGCCAGGATGCGACGCGAAGCTAGTGCGATACAAGCCAAGATGTGACGATGATTAGAGTGACAAGCCAGTGCAGCTGCGATACAAGCCAAGATGCCCGAAATGTTCTGTCGTCATTCCGGATGGGAGCGAGGCAGCAACTGTTACAGAGGCCACCAGCTCACTAAGATGGGCGGAACAACAATCGAGCATCGGAAGCTGAGCACATAAAAGACGTCACCGGGAGAACGCCGCCTGTGCCCTGCTCTGGCGGCCTCCTCGGGAGCAATTAAGCCCCTAGTGAGAGCTCTCAAGACCGGAACAGAACCGCAAAGGACAATGCCGCTTGTGCCTTGCTCCGCCTCTCACATGAACAGTGTATTCAAAGTTCAGACAGGGGTGGCGTGTAGAGAATTATTCAGTATTAATAATCTACATCAGCTTAAACAGCTTCTTTCTCTTTCCTACTCTTACGTGTATATAATGTAGCTTTAGCTATTGTATTCAATCAGTTACAAGTAATGAAGAATTTCTTCTTCTTCTTCAATATTTTCTCTGGTTTTCTTGCTTTTTGTTCATGGTATCAGAGCCAAGATCCAAACTAGATCTTGAGCTCTCTTTTTTATCAAGTTGATATTTGAAGAACGATGGAGGATGATCTTGATGTTTCGGTGACAAGAGCAGGAGAAACACCAAACAATAATGATGGAAATGTTATCAATGGCATTGGTACCGGAAAAGAAGCTAATGCTGGAAGCAATAATGGAGATCCTCTATTTTTACAAAATTCGGATCATCCAAGCATGATATTGGTGTCTAGTCCACTAACTGAAAACAACTATTTGACATGGAGCAGATCAATGAAGGTCGCGTTTGGAGCTAAGGTGAAATTAGGTTTCATCAATGGAAGTTGCAAAGCACCAGAACCTGATTCACCTACTTTTGAACAATGGACAAGAGTGGATTGTATGGTAACTTCTTGGATACTAAACTCTATTTCTAAGGACATTGTTGATGCTTTTCTATACTCTACATCTGCTAGAGATCTTTGGCTAGAATTGGAAGAAAGGTTTGGAGATTCAAATGGACCTTTACAGTATCATTTGCAACGAGATATTAGTACAATTAGTCAAGGAAATCTAACTATGGCACAATATTATACCAAACTGAAGAAACTTTGGGATGAATTGGCATGTATCATGCCACTTCCTCAATACTTGTCAATGTACTTGTGGTGCAGCTAAGAGAATGTGTGACATTACTTCTTCCAATAGGCTGATGCAGTTCTTAATGGGACTAAATGATTCTTTTGATCATATTAAGAATCAGATCCTACTAATGGATCCACTGCCTACTGTTAACAAGGCATATTCATTGGTGCTTAGGGTGAAAAAACAAAGAGATGTTCATATTGCTTTTGCTGAAACTGTTGATGGAAATGCTATGCTTGCTAGATCACAGAATTACAGGAAAGATGGAACAGGAAGATGTGCTACTAGAAAACCACCAGGTTATGGTAGATCTGAATTACAGAAGCAAGATTATGACAAAACAGAATATAGACACTGTGATCATTGCAATAGAGATGGTCATACAAAGGAATCTTGTTTCAAGATTTATGACTACCCCGATTGGTACAAGGATCTGAGAGAACAAAAGGGAAACACTCAAGGAAGAGGTAGAGAAGGCTTTTCAGGAAGATTTATGACTACCCCAATTGGTACAAGATGGTCATACCTGGATACTTATGCAGGTATGAAAGTTCAATATGCTTTTAACTCTAAGGATAGTACACTTGCTGTGTTAGATGTAGGAACCTGGATAGTTGATACTGGTGCTTCAAACCACATGTGCACTGATTTAAAATTGCTTTCTCAACCTAAACCAATAACTCAAATCATACCTATACATTTACCTGATGGAACCATAAAATTTGTTCAACATATTGGCCATGTGAAACTTAGTCCTGATCTGATTTTGACAAATACTTTACACATTCCCTCTTTTAAATTCAATTTGTTATCTGTTAGTAAATTAGTCATTATAAACAACATTAAATGCACTTTTTACCCTACCTATTGCTTGCAGCAGGACCTGCAGAATGAGAAGATATTAGCAGTTGGTAAAATGATAAAGAACTTGTACATTTTGGACAAGTCCTCTTTTTCTGCTGATAGAATTCAATCATTTGTTTGTAATAAAGAGTTTGCACAGAATGCTTGTAATAGAACCTTTCAAGCTGCTACATGTAATAAGTCTCATTTCTTCAATAAAACTTCTATTCCTGGATTAGTTCTTTGGCATAACGGATTAGGACATGCATCTGTTACAGCCTTACAACACCTTGATTTTTGTCCTACCAATGCATCATTACCTATTTGTGAAATCTATCATTTGGCTAAACAACAGAGATTGCCTTTTCCAGTTAGTAAAATTCGTTCAAAGAGCATTATTGATTTGATGCACTTGGACTTATGGGGCCCTTATAAACATCCTTCAATTACTAGTGCGCATTATGTGTTTACACTTGTTGATGATTTCAATAGAAGTACTTGGATATTTTTGCTTAACCATAAAAGCATGACTGTATCTTCATTCATTACATTTTTCAAAATGATTGAAACTCAATTTCATAAGAAAATTAAATGTACCCATTCTGATAATGGCACTGAATTTCTCAATAAAGATTTTCAAAGTTTTCTTTCTGACCAAGGTATTTTGCACCAGAAAAGTTGTGTTTATTCTCCACAATAGAATGGTGTTGTGAAGAGAAAACACAAACACCTTCTTCAAATTGCAAGGTCTTTGATGTTTCAAGCAAACTTACCAAAAATATTTTGGGGACTTGCTTTACTAATGGCCACACATATTATAAATGTTTTGCCTACTGTTGTTTTACATTGGAAAACACCTTTTGAAGTATTGTATAAAAGGAAACCAGATTATAAATATCTAAGGACGTTTGGCTGTCTTTGTTTTGCTACAAACATTCAGCCCCATAAGGACAAGTTTGCACCAAGAGCTCTTAAATGCATTTTTCTGGGTTATAGCTTAGGACAGAAAGCTTATAGCCTCTATGACCTCAATGACAGAAAACTTTTTACCTCCAGAGATGTTATATTTCATGAAGATATTTTCCCATATCGTTCTTTTTCAGCTAAACCTTCTACTTGTCCCTTACCAATTGTAGATCCAATTTCTGATTATGATTTTCCTGTTTCATCTACAATTCCTACTCCCAATTCAACTACTACTGTTGATTATGTTCCCCAAATTGAATCTGATCCTGTTTTGTCTACTCCTGTTGATACTTCTCCAACTCCTGTTTTGTTTCCTCCTTCTACTCATTCAACTAATCCTTCTTCACTTACACTTCCTACATTACCTCATCTGAGACAAAGCACAAGAATAAAAAACAAACCTGTTTGGTTCAAGGACTTTGTTACAAATTGATCAATTTCTGATCATTTACCTACTACTAATATGGTCTCATTACCCCCTACTAGTTCCAATTACACACCTCCTACTTTTCCCTATACCCAATCTCCATTTTTTGATAGTGTATATTTGAGTTTTTTAGCAAATGTATCAACTATTCCAGAACCTAAGTCTTACACTCAAGCTAGTACTCATCCAGAGTGGGTTAAAGCTATGAACAAAGAGCTAGAAGCTCTAGAGCAAAATCAGACTTGGGAACTGACTGGTTTGCCTAAAGGGAAGAAAGCTATAGGCTCAAAATGGGTTTTTAAGGTCAAGTTGAATCCTGATGGTACCATTGAAAGGTACAAAGCATGGCTTGTGGCTAAAGGTTATCATCAAGTAGCTGCCATTGATTATTTTGATAGTTTTAGTCCTATTACAAAGCTTGTTACTGTTAGAAATTTTCTAGTAGTTGCTACTGTTAAGAATTGGCCAATACATCAGCTTGATATAAACAATGCCTTTCTCCATGGTTATTTGGATGAGAAAGTTTATATGCTTCCACCAGAAGGCTATCAGAAGGCACAAAGTTTTGTAAGCTAAAAAGATCACTTTTGCAATAAGCTTCAACAGTTTGGTTTTTTGCAATCCAAACATGACCACTGTCTCTTTGTCAAGCATACCCCTAACTCATTTTTAGCTCTCCTTGTATATATGTTGATAATGCGCTTGTGACAGGTACAAGTGAGAGTGAAATTATCTTAGTAAAACAATTTCTTGATTCTACCTTCACAATCAAAGACCTTGGCTATGCAAAATACTTCCTCGGGCTTGAAATTGCAAGGAGCACTGCTGGTACTTATATTAACCAATGGAAGTATGCCTTGGATATACTCAAAGATGCAGGTTTATTAGTGGTTAAACCTGCTCAAACTCCTCTTCCTAAAGGACTGAAGTTTTCTGATAACAGTCCTGCACTACCTGATCCTGATAGGTATAGGAGATTAATTGGCAGATTGCTGTATTTAAATCTCACCAAGCCTGATCTTTCTTATGCCACCCAACATTTGAGTCAATTTGTCAGTTCCTCAACTCAAGATCACTAGAATGTAGCTCTTCACCTGCTCAAATACCTTAAGGGTTGTCCCAGCAAAGGCTTGTTTTTCTCCTCTTCCAGCACGTTTGATCTCCAAGCTTACTATGATGCAGACTGGGCATCTTGTCCACAAACCAAAAAGACACATATAGGTTACTACGTGTACCTGGGCTCTTCACTTATTTCTTGGAAGACTAAGAAGTAGACAACTGTATCCATGTCCTCAACCGAAGCTGAATACAGAAGTCTTGCCACTACAGTCTGTGAAGTGCAGTGGATATCCTACATTCTTGCAGATTTTCGAATCCCTCTTCAGCTTCCCATCCCTCTTTGGTGTGATAACCAAGTTGCATTACACATCACAGCAAACCTAGTCTTCCATGAGCGCACAAAACATCTGGAAATCGACTACCATTTGGTGAGGGACAAGTTCAAGCAAGGTTTTGTTAAGCCTCAATACATTTCTACACATGCTCAAATCGCAGACATCTTTACAAAGCCACTGGCAGGTCCTCAGTTTCATTCCTTGCTTTCCAAGTTGGGCTTGATCGATCTTCATCAAGCTCCAACTTGAGGGGAGGATGTAGAGAATTATTTAGTATTAATAGTCTGCATTAGTTGAGTTAGTTAGGTTGTTAAACAACTCATAACAAACTTTGCTAAGTTGGATTAGTTTGTTACTCTTCTCTCTCTTCTCTCTTTCCTACTCTTACGTGTATATAATGTAGCTTTAGCTGTTGTATTCAATCAGTTACAAGTAATGAAGAATTTCTTCTTCTTCTTCAATATTTTCTCTGGTTTTCTTGCTTTTTGTTCATGGCGCCACCACGCTCACCCGTAGCCTCACTGGTTCCTCTTCCAGTTGCCACTCGGAATTGACATTACCCTCCTCCCCATTCACCGCCATCCCTCCCCGCCTCAGAAGTTCAGACACGGGTGGTGCCACCAAGCTCTCCTGTAGCCTCACCAGTTCCTCCTTCAGTTGCCGCTCCTCCGCACTTGTCTCAGCCCTCAACATTTCCATCCTTCCTCTCTCTGCACTTGGTCTTGCGATAGGTCCCCAACAGAATTGGCAACGAGCCGGAACACCAGTCCGAGTCTGAATCCGCTAATCCAGAACAAGGCTCGCTCTAAGGAGCTGAACCAGGGGGGCAACAACGCGAGGAACACGTCCCTGTGAGCCGCTCTGGATTTCTCCTCCAAGTATCGTTGGTATTGTGTCAGGACCCGCGCAATGAGATCTATAAGGTCCTACTCGCGTGAATCGTTCGAAGCAAGAAGAAGGTGAATAGGATTTTTGCCCTGATTTGATATTTTTTAAAAAAACGTGACCTATTTTGGTGATTATATTAAAAATTTTATTTTTATTGATATTTTGGGCCAAAAGTTGCCCTTATCGGCAAGAACCCCTTATTTTCTCAACCGAACCGAGACCACCGACGATTTTTGAGCACAACCAAACTCCGACTACAGCAAGAAATAACCGACAGTAAGCATCTATTTGAATCTTCAAATTGTAACAAACTGACAATCCATTCTTTCAACAAGAAAATGATTTATCTGATTCCATTAAAAAGAAATAAAGAATGTTCATTCTTCATAAAAAACTGTGTACAAAGAGGGATTAATTTTATTCTACTGAAAGTTGAATTTAAATCATCAAATTAATAGTGATCCCATTGTACACAAAACATCGGTGACTCCAGTTAATTAATTTCTCAACTCAAAGCATCGTGAAATCAAAATAATAAGAAAATCAATACATTGGATAGATGGTCAATCCATTCTCGTTGCATTCTAGGCAACGATTGGGCCATCCGTCATCAGTCCCTTCATTAGGATTGACTTTGCAATTGCCATTACAACTGAAGCACAACATGAAGTATATCCCTGTGCAGCCGTCACATGGACCACTAGAGTGATTGGCTGGGAGTCTAGGACTCCTTGCAAGAGTGGTCGAAGCTTCCCTTGCTCATGCAAGCTCGCCACCTCATCATCTCCTCTGATGTATCTCCCCTTTGCAAGAGCGGTAAGCAACGAACAAATACTTATCATCCGGTATTTCTTACTGCTATTGGAATTCAGTTGTGCTTAGAAATCGCCAATGGTCTCTTGCTCCAGGGCTAAGGCTTGGTTGAAAAAAATGGGAGGAAGGGATGTTTGAATGATTCATAATGAGAGCTTTGGATTATTTTTGTCTTTTTTCTAATTGGTGACTAAGTAAATCGTATACACCCACTTAACGGAAAGACAACGTTGACGGAAATGACTTGATTTGAATAGGTGACATGCATGCCTCCTATTGGAGAGTACACGCTCACTGTGAACCTACGTGTTCACTAGATTCGTTCTCATCAAAATCAATCGAGTTGTCAATGTAATGGGCCCAAAGCCCAACCCAATCCGGGCCTTACAGACCTAGGCCCGAACTTATATTTCAGGTCTGGGCCTAGACTATAAGCCCTATCATAGGTACTATGCCCAGCCTCGCTCGGCTAGTGATCATCCCTAAGTATTATAAAACATGGCAATTTTTACTTCAAAAGAATTTAGATAAAGAAAAGCCTATATTAATTAACAATCTAAGGGTCCTTTTGGTTCGCAAAAAGGATTTGAATCAGAATCCCCAAGAATTAGAATTGGAATCACTTATTCTTGACACTTATTTGGTTTGGTCGGGAATCGAAATCAAATTCCAATTGTTGTTGACATGTTGTTTGGTACATATGAGTTGGAATTGGAATGAATTGAAAATTTTTTATTCTGTTATAGTCTTTTTATTATTTTATTATTACTTTATTAATATTTTATGAATATATAATAATAATAATAATAATAATAATTATTATTATTATTATATTAGTATTTAATCATTATTATCCTAGTATTTATCATTAATTTATGAAAATGTTATTAAGGTATTACTATGTTATTATTACTAATAATATTTCTATTATTATATTATATTACATGTTATTATTATTTTCTTCTATTATTTTGAATTACTTTGTTTTTATTTAATAATTAATATTTTAATATCTTATATTACTTTAATTACATAATATTAATATTTTATTTGTACTTAATTATTATTACTATTTAATAAATAATATCTTTTGTTTCTATTACTATTTTATTAGTATTTAATAATTAATATCTTATTCTTTATCATTAATTTATGAATATTTTATTATACTTTATATCATTTTCTTATTATTTTATTAATATTCTATTACTTTTTTATTATTTTAAAATTAATCTATTATTATTTAATAATTTATATGTTTGGACTTTAGTTATATTATATAAATATTTTATTTATACTTAATTATTGTTACTACTGCTATTACTACTACTTTAATTATATTGTATTAATAGTTTATTTATACTTTATTATTATATTTAATAATTAATATCTGTGTTTATTATTATTAATTTATTAGTATTTTATTATAATACTATTATTTTATTTTATTACTATTTTACAATATTTTTGTTAATAATTTATTAATATTAGTGTTTTGGGGGTTTTTTATCATGAATTCTTTACTTGTTGATATACTTTGGAATGGGAATCCCATTCCCTAAGGGGCTTGGAATGGCTATTCCTTCTTATGGCCAGAGACCTATTCTGGGAATCAAAACCCAATTCCTGCCAGACACCTATTCTAAGAAACCAAACGAACCCTAAGAGTGAAATGGCCATTGACCATTTCTAGGTTTGCCTTTGTACCTGATGATAAGTTTTTAACTTGTCTTGATAGAGCTTAACAACATAATACAAATAAATACAATGATAGCGGTGACCTTGTCTTAATCCTCTACTAAGCTTAAATTAAACAAGTTTGCAAAAGATTCATTAACAAGAAACATGCTGTATATAATCCAATTTATCTATTTTTTATGAGATTCCAATTTTTAACACCACTTTTATATG